TGTGTTAAATGTAGTTTTTTTTCGATTGTTCGTTTGTTTATGTGTTAAACACATTCGTTATCATTATTATACATTATCATTATGTTTATAAATATTATTATTATTAGGACTATTAGTATGATTTTTAATTGTTTGTGTTTTAAATATGTAAAAACAAAACGATCCAAGAAAAAATTTTAAGACTCGAATATAATAATAATAATAAATAATAATAACAATAATAATAATGGGAATAAAAATAATGATAATCCATAACAGAAAGTCTATAAAAGTAGTAGGAGATTAATCCGATATGGATGTGGCATAACCGGCCGAATGGTAAATATATTGGTTATTCTTGTACGAGATCCCACTTTAATTCTTACCCCAAACCAATTTTTCTTTATTTTTTGTTAACAAGATAAAATTAATTGGAGACTAATCTAGTAAGGATGTGGTATACCCGGCCGGATGGTAAGTTTGTGGTTTTATTTGTAAGAGGCCCGAGTTCGAATCTCATTCTGCATGTTTTTTACCTTTTTTGTCCATTTTTATACTGTAGGGAAGTCGTCCCTATTTAATCGTATACGAGAATGCCTCCTCCTTCCTCGTTTTTCTGCTCCCAATCGCTCCTCCTTCTCCGATTTTTTGGCGGCGAACTCCTCCCCTTCCCGGCCGCATCTCGCCGTCTCCGCCCCTGAAGCTGCTCGATTTCTTGTCGTTGCATCTCGCCGTCGCCAGCCCTTCGCATCCCGTCTCCTCCCTGCTCGATTTCTTCTCTAAGAGAGGTAAAACCCTAGTTTTTTTTTTGATATTTTAATGTTGATTTGTTCAGCCTTCTCCATTTTTCTGCTGCGAATCGCTCCTCCCTTCTCCATTTTTTTGCAGCGAACTCCTCCCCTTCCCGGTCGCATCGCTGCTGCTGCTCGATTTCTCGCCGTCGCCGGCCCTTTGCAACTCGTCTCCTCCCTGCTTGATTTCTTCTCCAAGAGAGGTAAAACCCTAGTTTTTTTTTATATTACTTCATGTCTACCACTTTATATGGTTACTTCATTGATAATGTTGATTTGTTTTGTTGAATGTGAGGTTTTAGGTTAAATGTTAGGTTAAATTTGAGGTTTTAGGTTAAATTGTGGTTGAATTTGTTAAAATGTTAGGTTAATTTGTTAGATTTGTTGAAAATATTAGATAAATGTTAGGTTAGTTTGTTAGATTTGTTAAAAGTGATATAAATGTTATATAGAAAATATTGAGAACTTCAATTTGTTAAAAATGTTAATTTTGTTGAAATGTTAGGTTAATTTGCTAAAAATGTTAGATAAATGTTTATGTATGAATTTTTTTTATGGATTTTTGTAACTTGAAATGTGTATTCATGAACTTGATAACTTGTTATTTTTGGAAACTTTGTTGAAAGCAGATTGTCAAAATGGGTATAAGATGACTAATTTCAAAGGGTAAAATTGGAGTAAACTGTTAAAATTGTACAAAAAGGGTATAATTGGCAAAATTGGTTATTAAGCTTCATGGAGCATAAATAACTATTGGAATAGAGTTGAAAGATTGTTAGAATGACTAGATGAGCATAGTCATTTCGTTATATGAGAATTGGAGTAATATACTTAATTAAAGTCTCTTGATAAAGAGAATGTACATTGCTAAAAATGTGATGGTCAATATTGAAGGTTCAATGCAAATGTCTTTTTATTTCTTTTTTAATTTCATTTTGTTGTGTTTCAGGCTTATGTATACACCACAAAGCAGAAAACCATAAGTTCAACAACTTGGGTGCATTTCTTGGGTAAGAAATTCTACATATAGCAACATAGTTTTCTTCAAACTTGGAAAGTTGTTTTTAGGGTTAAATGCATGAATTAACATTGTAGTTTTTATGTTTTTTTTTGTATAACATCCTACTTTTGGTTTCCGTTCAGGTACTCTTTTTAAGATTTTAGTTTTTAAACCAATTTGTTTTCAAATTGTGAACATGTTATCTTAATGTCTTAATAATCCAATGCATGCCAAATCTATTGTAATGCAATATGATGAAATTAAAGTATGATGCTATAAAGGGTTGAAAACAACTTGACTAGTAACTTCTATCCATAAAAGAAATATAGTTAGGATTCTATAAATAAATTATTGAAATCAATGCAATTGTTGGTCAAATACATAAGTATGTAGCTCTAATGGGAAAAAAAATTAAAGCGCATTACCCAAATTGGCAGCGGGAGTAAAGCACGTTGCTATTCTCTACAGTTTTTTGTTTTTTACATTTCCTTTATTTTGTAATTAACTCATGTATTGAATCTGGGATTTTGATTTTATTACAGGTCTTTCAACCAAGGGTTTAAGAGCTATATCTTGTACAAAGTAGGATAATACATTCAAATGTATTGTATTTGTATGAATTGTATTGGTTTGTATTTAAGTTATTTTTATGAAATAAATTGAGTAAATGCAAAGTACAATGCTATAACCAAAAACATATATTGTAATGTTTACTAGTTTTGTGGCTGAGTAATAATTTTTTATAAATTTAATGTATTGTGTTTTTTCTTGTGCATTTTAAGCAGAAAAAACTGAATTTTTTTAGTTTTTTTTACTAATTTAGTGACGGATTTCTAACGGAATATCCGTCGCTAAATAGGTCCGTAGGTATTCCGTAGGAAAAAAGTCACTTTTTGTCAAACTTGAAATCCGTCGTTAATTCGTAGGAAATCTGTAGCTAAACTGTTCCGTAGGAAAATAGTCAATTTCAGTCAAACTTCACACCCGTCGGCAATCCATAGGCATTCCGTAGCAATTCGTTTCCATAGCTAATCTGTAGGTATTATACCTACGGAATAGGACGTAGCTATTCCGTAGCTAATCCGTAGCAAATCCGTAGGTATAAATTTCCCACGGGCATTTATTTTACATGCCTTTTTCCGTAGCAAATCCGTAGGTATTGCCTTATACCTACGGAATACATACGGATTGTGCCGTAGCTATTGCCCTAGTTTTCTAGTAGCGATACAAAAGGTTATAAATCACATGTTTTCCATTCACCTTTCATATACTTTAGCAAAATACATGACTTAACCCTTTATTCAACTAATAAATGTATTACACCCTTCTTAATATATAAGCTATAAGAAACATGTGTTACGATAACCATCCTTTACTAAAGTATATAAAGAGTAATTATTCTTACTTTGTTGAAAACCATAACCAATTAAAAAATGAAGTTACTTTTTGATTCCATTTTGGTGGACCCTATTTTAGTCCATATAATGGCTTTAAAATTTACACACTCTAGTTTCATTTAAAAAAAAGTAATATATGAAAAAAAAAACATATACCCATCTTCATTTATAGTTCCATATAGAAAGGTAGTATTAACATGCAACTTATATAATGTCCAACGATAATTTATTACAATAAAAATTAAACATATAGCAATAATAAGCTTACCAATAAGTGAAAACATTTCATTAAAATCCATACCCTCACATTGATTATACGTTTTACCCAATAACCTATCTTTATGACGGTCACCATTAACGTTGCATAGTATCTTGTATACCCACAATACCCTGTTGGTTTGCAGCCAATAGGGAGTTTAGTACGTACTCAAGTTCGATTTGTATATAAGGCCTCCATTTCTTCATTCATTCATCGAATCCAATTAGGATCAGAACAAGCTTGATTATAATTATTTGGTTCAACAATTTTATTGAGGTAAGAGACAAAACAACGATAACCAAGTTATAATAAAGAGTAGTTTACAACCTTTTTACACATCTTATACTTTCGTATAAAAATATTCATTGAATTTTCTAGGAATATTAGACACTCTAGAGAATCTTAATGCTACTCTCAGACTCCCTAAAATCCCTAGGACAAGTTCCAAATACTATTACAAAAACGAGGTTTAGTCACGATTTTCTCAAAACAACTTAGCCATGGTTTTGTTAATTCATATGGCTTTTTTTTGTAACCGGCAAATATATTAATTGTAAAAAGGAAAAAACAAAGATATCCCGACTAGCAAGGAGCTAGCAGGGAAAATAGAGTTTCAGTTTACATCATTATCATCACCTACTGCATTACATTGGAGTTCAATTAATTAAAAGGGCATGAGCACCAAATAGCCCATTCACATATCTTTGCCGAGCTCGTGTATTTCAACCACATGTATACCATCGATTGGATGTTATCAGCAACCTTTGGGGGGAGTAGTTGGCAATTTTTTGAATAGCCTCCCATTCCTAGCCTTCCAAATCTCCCAGAGTGTACCATAACATAGGCTGATCAAGACCTTCCTGTTCTTCCTGTGACTTCCCTGCTGTGATACATACTCAATTAAATCAGCTACTGTGTTAAATTGAAAGGTAGGCATGTTGCACCATCTCCAAAACCATTCCCAAATAGTCTTCGCAAAAGGACAAGTGAGCAGAATGTGATCTGGACTTTCATCCACCTCCATACATTGTCCACATTGGATTGATTCTAACGTTACACCTCTCTTGGATAGTTCTGTAGCTGCTGGTATCCTCCCAAGACTTGCTCGCCAAATGAAGCAAAGAACTTTGATGGGGACTTCTTTTATCCATTCAACTTTGACGTGAGGTTCTGGATCTTTTGGCCTGTCGATCAAATGCCTGACTATGTCAACATGATATCTACCATCTCCCGTTAGAACACATCTCTATTTGTCTTCATCTGTTGTTGGCCGAAATTGACCCAATGATGAACAAATGGCTGTAAGATCGGTGATATTTGGAGTAGTCTTCCAATTCCATTCTAATCCAGTGGGCTTCACTCTATCTTCCACTGTACATCTTTTTTTTTCTTTTCCAAATCGTACAGGTTCGGAAATGCTACCTTTAATGTTTCATTCCCAATCCATCTGTCTAGCCAAAACAATGTCTTGTCACCTTTATTTACTTTTTTCTTCATAATAACCTCCATCGACACATCTACCTTCCTTAGTTCTGTATCAATCGAGGCAATATTCTTCCAAACACCAATGCTCGATCGATTAGCTAGACATGAATCTTCCTTGGATTTTATTTTGTGAATTCCTTGAATGACCTGACTCCATAGTGTGTCTTGGTTCAATCTTAATCTCCACCACCACTTTGTGATAAGGGATAAGTTGAGGGCCCTGAGTGATCCCAATCCCAGTCCCCTGCTTCTTTGTGCTCTATAACTTTTTCCCAAGTCACCCAGTTTATCTTTTTATTGTTTTCCGTTTGCCCCCACAAAAATTTCCTTCGTATCCGTTCTAGTGCGCTTATAACCCCCATCGGTGCCACAAAGAGGGAAAAGGACATTTTTATGAAGTTTTAGTATTTTTAATTACATTTTAGCTCAATAACCGTGACCATTACAAATTATATGCATTTATGTAGCCATATTTTATCATAAGAATTGTGACAAATATGTGTCAAAATTTTACATCGTGGCCAAATGTCATTCAAAAGATAAAAAAAAATGTGTTTTTAAAAGTCATCAATTGTCATGAGAGAGATATGGCTGGACCGTGATTATTAAGGTAGGTACTCGTGTAGCCATGGTGTATCTAATTTGTTTATAAAAGTAACCAAATCTCATCATATATATATATATATATATATATATATATATATATATATATATATATTATATATATATATATATATATATATATAAAACTGTAATGACTTGAATGTCTTTTACTTCTTTTAAAGATATAAAACTGTAATGACTTGAATGTCTATTACTTCTTTAGGAAGTAAATAGGAAATAATGTATATTCAATGCTCAAATGGTGCAAGGAAAGTAGAATGCTATTTAGCGAAAATCAATGAATAGTCAAGGATTTGGAAAACATGGTGCGTGGATTTTAGGCGTGGCGCATGTAATGTGTTTGTGTGACACGTACGGTCAGAAACACAGTGCATAAACAATTATGAATCATCAGACACATTATAAGTATGCATGACACGTGGCATAAGACGGTAACACAAAGCATGATCCTGAATTGACACATGGACGCGACGCTTCCATATCTTTGATACGGCGTGTAAGCACGTATCACAATCTAATATAAATTGTTGAAGTGCTTTCTACGGCTATGTGTTTTCCGGATCGGAACATATAAGGCTCGAGCAACGACTTATGACTATAGAAGTGCGTATCGATGAGAATATATTAGAATACAACTCCCGAACAAGATAAGGTAACTTCTCATCTTATAATTATATACATATGATATTTTAAAGTAACTGTGAAAGGGTTAGTTAACAGTTGAATTTTGTGTTGGAATTCTTAGTGAAATCAACAAAGGTTGTAAACCTTTAAGTATGGAATAATTAGAAATGAGTATTTGAGATAAAAAGTTTACAGGGTTAAACCATTTAGCGAATGTATTATGCTATTTGATTAGTTTAGTAACAAGTAGTTACTGAGTTCAGTTAGTGATACGAGAGTTAAGTTTGTAGTAACTAGTAACAAGTTATGAGGAGCTTGGTATGTTGTTCAAATAGTTTTGGACAAGTGATTGAGTATAGAGGTAGCGAAAAATTGAAGATTATAGTGGAAGTTAGTTTTTTTTACTAACTAGCCAGGTTAGCATATGTAGATTTTCTGGATACATAGCATTATTTATATGGTTAAGGTGTTCCTAGATCTTTGTATATTTTTTATAAAAGAGGAACCCTGGTATTGAAATGGATTAAAAAGATATAATGCTTCATGATTTTAAGCTTTCAAATGGTATTCAGAATGAAAAGGGGCATTGCTAGTTATTTGGCTTATATGTTATGTATGTTATTTTGTAGGAATGAATGGATAATACTTAAAAGGTTAACTATTATAATGCTAGAATATGGCATGTATAGTAATATGTGAAGTTACACAATGTATGATTATGTGAAAGTAATGTGTGATAAGAGTGTTGTTGAAAAATCTACATGCCTAAGAGTCATTATAAAAGGATATTGCTAGATAACATATGATTCTAAAAGGTTACATTAACTACAACTTGATATAATTGATTATTTAGTAGAAATTGATTTTAATAAATATTCAATAAACTCTTATAATTAATTGGAAATTATTTATTTCTTGGAATTAATAATTTTCATTAGCAAGTAACATATTAAATCATATGGAATGATTTATTAAGTTATGTACAACATTTTGGACTATAAGGACTTTTGTCCTTTATGAAAATGTTAAGGTTTATACTTTATAAAAGGAAGTTTATAAAATTTATAAACTAGTCTTCTAGTTTATGTCCTTTGTAGAAAAGAGAAAGAGAAGAATGCCTTTTGCGTTAGTTTAATCAAAAGTATACATGTATTATGGAGCACGGGGGACAATTAGGATATAGGGACATGATGTGCTTAAAGTGTTAAGGACTTATGGTCCATGAAAGAGCTTTATGAGGTGGCTTTCACTCTTTTTTTTCTCACTTCCTAGAACCATAAAATGCATCTTCTTCTCCTTTCTCTCTATTTTTTGTTAAAATACTTGAAGAATGCTTGCACT